GTGATGGTTGCACATATATCTGTAGATACTCTAAAAGCCACTGAATTGTATAAGTGGCTTGTATGATAGGTGAAATTAGTCTCAATAAAAATAAAGCTATCAGAAAGGAGGTGAGAAATGGAGGAGGAAGAGAGTACTTCCAAATATAAGAAAGCAGCAGCAAGATTGTAGCGACCAATTGCTGAAAGTTTGAGTTCTTCAAGTAGCAGTATCATGAGTAAGCATAAACAAAAGTGGTCTGATTAAGATCTCAGAAGGGACTGGCAGAAGTCATCATGACATGTGGACATGTGGTTATATGATTTGATTTCTGAATGGAAAGGGACATTTTGGACAAAGGAGACAGGAGTAAAAATCATAAAATCATGAAATGTATGGCTAATGTATAAATAGTCTTGCCCATCAAATCAACACTAGTGGGGCCCTCCCTGATGGTACAATGGACTAAAGTGCAGCATTGTGAAGCTCACAGCAGCTGCTTCAGGGCGAGATCAATCCCTGGCCAGGGAAGTGACCCACATGTCTCACCTGCTGCTCCCCTCAAGCAATGTACTTCATCATGCTGTCTGCTCTCCACTCTGTCTCCAATGAATCCTCTCTCCACCCCGTACCCAGTTCTGTATGCATATATAAATAAATCTTTAAAGAAAAAAAAAAACAATCAACACTAGCCATAGAGGAACCTCCAGAGGTTTATAAGAGCAAAATAAGGTGAATAGAAATGGGGATCATTTTGGACTGGTGCTGGATTACTGAAATTCATCATTTCCCCACTCTCCACCTCCAAGAGTTCTAAGCAAAAGATAGCACCTGGACAAGTACACAAGAATATGAAATAAGTGTCCATTTCAATGATGGCACCTTTAATAAAGAAGTCACTAAATACAATGGCCCAGAATCCGAAAGACAGAACTGCTGGGGCTGGGGAGTGGGGAGAGATCCGGGAGTAGAAGATAGCACCCAGGATATAGTGGTGCCAGTCCCGAGAACTCTTGACCATGTACCATAGGTGCAGGCATAGGTGGAGACACCCCAGTGAGGATGTGAGATATGTAATGTCCTAATCTGGGAGCCCTCACAACAGTGTGAGGCAGTGTGAGGTTCAAGAGGTATCCATAGGCAACCTGCTGTCTGAAATTACTGGAACCTCTAAAATTCCCAAGAGTGAAGCTATCAATCAGAGGAGCCATTATCAGGAGGAAAATGTGGCCAGAGAATTCAGTTCAGGCTAGACCAGGAGCTCCCAAACCACTAAACCACTCTGTAGTATGATAATATAGTCACAGCTTGCAAATTTTCTATACTAGGTCATTTCTTCTACTTCACAAATAATTGTTACTGTCAACTAGGTATGTAGCTGATCTGGGAAAAAGAGGTACTACACAGAGCATGAAACACTCAAAGAACACTTGGCTTCATTGGAGGAGGTATATGCAGAGGGAAAAGAACACAAAATTTGGTGGTACACTGATCCAAAGATAGCTTTGGCAAGTCCACACTTGGCGATGTGAGCTTAGAAGTCTAATTCTCCTCTTAAATCTGTGCTGGTCTATGGCCTGATTTAACCAATAGCACGCAGATGTAAGTCTGTGTAACTCCGACTTCACTGTTTACAACATCTCCTCTTCAACGTCAGCTGCCAAATAAGAGGGTCCCCATGCTAAGAAACCCAAGCACCTCCATGTAGAATACAGCAGTCAGGACCACTGACATACCAGGAACTGCAGAAGCACATTCTGGGTCTTCCTGGCATAAACCAGAACAGCTGAATGAAGACTCAATATTACATGCAACAGAAGAACTGCCCAGCCTAGCCTAGCCTGAATGCATGATAGGTATCAAAAGCAAATCAAGTAGATATTAAGTTACTGAGTTTTGAGATAGTTTATTAAACCACAGTCAATAACTAAAACCAGCATTAGTTCTAACTCTGTTCTTAACTGGCTATGTGACCCAGGGTCAATGACTTCCTCATCTATTAAATAGGGTGGTAACGTAAGGTTCTTTCCAGTACTGACAATCTATGAATATGAAAGGTCAAAGGAAAGCAGCTAGAATGGGACTAAAAGCAGTGGGGTACAAGAGTTAGATGAGGCAGCACCCAGAACAATACATGGTACATTGCAGGTGCTCAATAAATACCCTTATGTTCTGGTATTTATCAGTTCTGTGACTCTCGACAAGTTTATCTCTCTTATCCCCAGTTATTTTATCTGAAGATGGAGATAACACCAGTGTCTCTGTTCCTATAAGAGGAAAACTCTTTGTATGTAAAAGTCCCATGCAAATCCAAAATTACCTACACATATAAGGCATAATATTGTTTTTAATACTTTTGCTGCACTTTGCATCTTAGAAATCCCCTTTTCCCCCAGCCATGTGCAGTAAGACAGGCAGCAACCTCCCTGAACCTGTAACCTCATTTATAAAATGCAAAAAGGGAGCCCCATCTCTAGGGAAGTGGTGAGAATTACATGAGTACTGCAGGTGGAAAACATCTAGCATTCCTAGGGATAATTAAATGTATAATTAAATTAACTGGCACCTAGATGCCCTTCAACCCTAACCACAGCCTTTCAATCACTGCCGAACCCTAAAGTCAGCAGCAGGCATCCAAAGAGCCACTCCATCCAGCGCTGATTCTGTAAGCTGCCAGCCCTTGGGAGAGAAAGACCTGGGCTCATTTTCCAAGGGTGCCTGACAAGGCAGCAAAAATGCATTTACATTTTACAGTCTGTGCTTTTCCAAAACAAGGAAGGAATGTGGTGTGGAATTAACCCTGAAATCCCAACAATGTGCAGTGGCATGGATGCTGCCTGGAGGAAGCCAGCAGCAAAGGCACTTGCAGGCACATGCGACAGAAACACCTCTGCCTCGACTCCACTCAGGTGTCAGCCAACAAGGTTTGGATGAGTCTGTGTCCAGCACCAATGACATGCACTGAAACTTAGCACCCTGTCCCCACAGTCAGTCTTGTACTTTCTTCTCTTCTCATAGCAGTACCCTGGATTCCTACCATGCAGATCTGCACTGGGGACACAACTGGATCTAGACTGGCTCCCCCCTCCTATTAGCTAGCTCCATGGTCTGTGAATGCGAGGAAGTTACTATAGGAACTACATCACACAGCCCCCAGACATTTGCTCAGAAAGGAAACTGCATGTCGGAGAAGGGAAGGTAGGACCTACAAAGTTGGAAACAAGCTGATGCCCAGCACTTATCAAATTCTCTCCCAATCACCTGCATTAAACCACCCAGAGGCTCGTTAAAGGCACCTGTGCCAGGCTCTCTGCAGGTATATCATACTACTACTGGAGGGTAGCATGATGCAACTTTGACTGCCTTCACCTGGTGATTTCTTTGCCCTAGTTGAGACCTAACTGGGATTAAATGCAGAGGACTGGGAGAAAAGAGCAGAAAGGCTTAAAAAATTCTTTAATCCTTCTTACCCTCATTCTTGCAAGCAGAGCACTGGTAAATCAAACAAAACCAATTTCCCAATTTATGTATCTTCAAAAAAATTAAATCACAATTATGATGAAAACTCACCCTTTAAAAAACCTACTCGTCAAAGCAACAAACCAGGACAAAAATTAACTCAAACATCCCATCTTAGACCAAGCAGATCTATTCTAAGAGAAGCAAGATAAGATCTTGGCTGCAGCCCTGCTCTGGTCCAGGCCATACCCAATTCAGTTCTGCATTCCACCTCAAGGTTGATGTCAGGGGTGAGAATTGGGGAGCAGGAATGTTGTGCTAGCTCTAGCAAATAAGGCTGGGGGAAGTTATGGGGGTGGACAGGGAAGTAAGATTCACCAACTCATATCTCCATGAGAAGAAAAAAATGTCTAAGAAAAACTGACCACATTAGGCACTTAACAAAAATTGGGAAATATTTCTTGAACTGAAAGATTGGCCACCTGATGGAATAATCCTTGCAGAAGATACTAAAACCCTGTATCTAAATAACCATCTAGGAGAAAAAGAAAAGGGAACAAAGAGGAAAACTGTCTCCTCATGGAAAGTTCCTTTTCAAAACCAGCAAGACACACTCCTTTGGAAAGGCATTTATGGGTGACAGGCAAACACAAGCAGTTGCTGAGGGTCCCAGAGTCTTTGTGAATGAAGAGCAGAAGGGATGTGAAGAGTAGAAGCACTGATCTTAGGAGGGGCACCTCAATTGTAATTTCAGAGACAGACATCCTTGCTTTGGAAAAGGCATCCAGGGACCAACCAGAACCCAAGCTTCTGCACCTCCATCCCCAAGGCTGAAAATTTCAGTCATGCCAGCCAAATTCGTCACAACTGGTGATCAAACTTAACATTAAGTCACAAAATCAACAAATGAGCAGCTTTCACTACCACTTCGCACCATCAGTAGCTGGCACTAGCAAAGGAAAAGGGGCAAATCAGGTGTTTAGGAAGTGGCTCTGACACCTGCAGTTACCTGGAATCTAAAAACATCCCTGTGTTATTTTCCTCCATCAGTAAGCAGCTACCACCCCCCCCCCCTTTAAAAGACACTCCTGGGAGTACTTCTCTCGTGGGAGCACAGCAGGTAAATAACACAAGAGTCCCCCCACACCGATTCTAAAGCATCAGGTGTCGGAACTCACCCAGCTTCTTGGAAGGAGGGGTGGGGAAGTAACTCAATCCGACCCTGGGCCGGTAAAGATAAGGGGGGAGGGGGTTGCAGATGGGTGGAGGGTTATGCAGGTGGATGGAGGGGTCTGCAAGTTGGGGGCGTGGGGAGGGGGCGGCTAGTCAGCAGGCGGGAGAGGATTCTCAGGTCGTGGAATATGCAGGTGGGAGTGGAGCCTGCAGGTGGGAGGGGACTTTGGAGGGCAATGCCGTTCCAACTTTGCAAGGTCTCGGCAGCCCTGGGCAGGGGCCAGTGTCCAAGAGTCATCCGCCCAACAGTAGGACACCCCGCATCAGCCTTTCTCCAGCCATGCGTCCAGGCTGGCTGTGCACCCCACGCGCTCAGGCGTGCCCCTCACCTTGGCCTCGAAGCAGATGCCGTGCTGGAAGGCGTCCTCGTTGTGCAAGGGGATTCGCAGGTCGTGCCCGTCGTCCACAAGGTTGTACTTGGTTTTACTGGGCATGGTGCCCCGCCGGGACTGCTCCACCGGAGGCGGCGGCGGGAAGAGGCTTCGAGATCCACTGAGGAGAACGAAGAGGCGGGAGCGCGGGGGGCGCCGGGG